AGTTTGAGAAGATAAATTACGTACCTAAAATGTCACCAACTCGGAATGTTCTGCCTGAGACCCAATTTTCGTGTGGAATGAATTAACTGAAGTATTAGTAGGTATATCCCATCATCCCATACCATCTCCTACTACATGCGCGCGCAGTTTGTGCTGCTGAAAATTGTGCGAGTACACCAAACACTGCACAAAGTACAACCATGCATGCACTTCTATCCATTGCCATTTTCTTTGTTTTTCTTAGCAAAGATTGTTAGGTTTCAAAAATTTTGAGATGAGGAGTTGGTTTTGTTTTTGCAAAATTGTTTATGGAGGTAAATTTATAGCGAATGGTTATTGACAAGTCTTCAAAATGTTGAATTTTTTTAGGGCTGGACTTAACGTCGGTCTGTGTACGGGCCTTGTGGATATAATGTGGGCCGTAATTAGAAAATTAGTGTTCGACTTTTAATTTGCCAAATCTCCTAAAAATATAACCAAGCTCCAAATCTACCACCTAATAATTAAGGACTACAAAAGGAACTTGCTCCACAACTTCATAGGATTACATTATAAATTGTTTTTGTTGAACCAAACTTTTGAGTTTATAAGTTAGAAAATTTGGGTCTCATGCACCCATTGACTCGAAATGTCCTATAAGTAATTAAGTAAAAGACTATTTACTCTGTGGAATATAAAAAGCAATGAGAAAATAAATTTTATTGGGTCCCTTCTAGTGTGGAATGAGTCCGTGGAATTTTAAAAATCAAGGAAACATCATATTCTTTGTCCATACTAGAAAAGTTCATATTGTATAGTTCACCTTATATAGAGTTCACCTTTTAGTTATGGCGATGCAGCAAACTGCTACAAAGCTTACTCCTTTGGCTTTGGGGGAGAAGAAAAAGTTTGCATCTCATGTAAAAATAATTGTCATATTCTAACGAAAAATTCAGTAATGATATTCTAATGGAAATTGCAGAATATAGCTTTCGTTGACATTATTTCAACGAATATATTCCTTTGAAATGTGTTTTCCATCAGAATTTTAGTTGGAATTTGATGACTCCAATGACCAATTTTCCAACGGTTTATCACCGTAGTAATTTTCGTTGAATATGCAATTTCCGTTGGAGTTTTTATTTCCGCCTATATTTCAATCGGTGGAAAATCTAGTATTGGAATCGTCAAAATTCAGCGGAAATTTCAATTAAAAATTCATTCCAACGGAATATTTCTGCTACAATTTCAGTTGGCGGATTTCTGTCAAGAAGGAAAAGGGATGGAAGTCGATGGAGTGTGACAAATTTTTGTTGATGGTTCGGTTTCTGAATGAGGTGCATGTTGGGGATTGTCTTGATTTCTCGTACAGTGGATAGCTTGAAGTTTATGACGAGGAAGGAGATCGAGAGAAAGGGGACGAAGAAGAATAGGTGGTGGTCGTATGCCCAAAATAGATGCATCGTCGGAGTCACTGGTTGCACAAGAATCTAAAAATGAAAAAGAAGAACAAAAAAAAATCTAAGAGGGATAAATCGGCTAAAGAACAAGAATGCGAAATCGTAAACAAAAATCAATTTATAAGAATAAGTGAAGAAAACTTGCTGACTGGCGATATGATGAAGGATGATCGCAAATGAAAGGAGTGGCGGTCGACGACGGATCAATGTCAAGGAAAGTAGGAATTTTTTAAGATTGAATAAAGGCAAAAGGGTTTAATATGGCGAAGTCGAAGGAATCTGGAGAGGTCGATCAATTCTGGTCGTCTGATGCGAAGGGAGTAAAGGGCCAGGATTGCGAGTTTAGAAGCTAAATAGTTAGTCGAACAGTGTCTTTAGATTAAGGTTGGAATAGACGGACGAGATCGAAGATGTAAGTTTAAAAGACAACTCGATCAGGACCATCAGATAAAAGTAAGATCAGACGGGGCAAATTAAAGAAGCTTTAATGGGCAAGCTAACCGAGAATGGGACAAAATCCAAGGCAGTTACGTCGATATGACAAACTGTCAGTCAAGATTGAAAGGACAGAAAATTTGACACCAGAACCTAAAATTCAAATTTTTGATTTAGAGACCTCAGTCCTAAGTCAAGAGCGGATTATTTTAGCTAGAATGAAGAGAATGGTGAGTCCGAAAAGTCGACAGGGTTGGTCTCATGTTCACATAATGTGTTTAAGAACAGTCGATGCTACTCTTGAATCGAGATATCCCAACTCTACGAGAGGGGGAGGGGGAAGAGACTAAATGATATGAAATACATACCAAGTCGAGTATGACTTAATTAACGGTTCAGCTGGACCGAAAGGTCGCTCGAACAACAAGGACAATGAAGATAGAAAAATCACCAAGTCGATGATGACCTCACGGACAAGAAAGCTCACCAGCAAGTCAAGTTAGAGCTCTCGGTTGGTGGAAATTCAACCTAGAGATAGGTGAGTCAAGATCATGACCTAAGGAACGAAATCCATACGCGAGAGATTAGAGCAACCTGGTTGGTAGAGAACTGAGTTGGTTGCACAATTTAACCGTAAAACAAGGCAGCCTAATGTGAGCACACTACTTTGGAGATGAGAAGAAATATTATTAGGATTACAATCACAAATGGATAGGACCTCGTGGCCTAATAGAATCAGGTAGTTTGGGCATTCGAACAGTATGAACGGGTAGCTCGGGCAATACGGCAGCCCAGCGCGACAGTCTTGGGCAACAAGATAACACTCCTACATAAAAGAGTAAAGTATGATCATCCAACCTACACATACTTTGATATACTAACAACCTACATATATTGCTCATAACCATCTTGCACATTCTGACTCGATCGTCGTATCTTCTACACTGAGA